TCTTGAAACGCACCGCCAGAGATAGGGGGTTAATCCCCGGTCAAGGTCAAGAATACCCGACCGGGGATTTATGCTTGATGCCCAGGCCCCCTTCTGCTTCTCAAACGCCCAAAAGAGATTTTCCCTAGTCTGCTCCGATTAATACCCGGCCGATATTTCTGCTCAATGGTCGGGTATTTTGCTCCTCTAGCATACTTCAACTCAAACGTCCTCCTGTCGACCCGAAACTCGTTTCTTCGCCTCGATGCCAACGCCAAGCCCTGAAATATGACATAAACACTCAACCTAGCGTGAAATTGACTTAAAACACGAGAATCAACATGTCAAACGGCTCAAGAATAGGGGTAAAAACATGTGCAATCAATGGTCTATCAAACTCCCCCACACTTAACCGTTTGCTTGTCCCCAAGCAAACCTAATCTCTCACTAGAAACTCTAATCTCTCACTAGAAACCGTCTTTACTATAGGGTTTGCTCCAAGTGCTGAATTGAGAAGAATCTCTCTAAGAGAAGATCAACACAAGCTTAAAGGAGATTGGAGGCATCACCATGATGGTTTCTACCTCTTTCTCTTGTGTTCTTCCCCTTTCTATCATGGAGTATTACTCATTTTCACTTGGGTGTTGTGAAACCCTAACTATTTGTCATGTGTTGTAGTGTGACTTGAATGATTGTTTATGGGTGTTATTTAATTTAATGATTGAGGTATTTTCATGATGATTGTGCATGTATATGCTTAGCAATCTAATTGGCCATTCTAACCTAGGTTAGAGGGGAAACCCCCTTTCTAAAAGAGGCTCAATTGAGTTGGGATTCCTTGGGCTTGATAAGCCACCTACCTAGGTTAATGTAGGAAAATCTCTATCTTGAATTAAGCAACTAGGTTAATCATGATTAAGCCGTCCAACCATCAATTTGAGGGAGAAGGTAAGTCAACCCTTAATTGCCTTAACCAAGAGGGCTACTCTTGTAGCCTATAATGTATCCCTTGGTTTGACAATTGATAGTATGGTCCTCGACCAGCGGTTCAAGATTGCCTTGCCCATAACGTCCCATTCGAGTCCACGTGGCATGGTAGTAGTTAGGGGGAAGCGACACCGGAGTGATCCTTCTCATCTAGAGCTTTCAAACCATTTACTTTTACTTTGTTTTGATTTAAATCTCATAGTTTTCAACCAAAAACCAATTCGCTAGATAATGCTTCAAACAAATGGAAATAGGGGTACACGGGTCGACCCGGGTTGATATTTAAACATACTTGCCCTATTTGGCACCCATCTAAGGTTTATACTTGGGCCTTAGGTGAGAATTTATTGTGATATTCGGGACGAGTCAAATTCACATGTTTCAATCTAGGGTTCACAACACCCAAGTGAATAGGTAGGCTATTTCATAGCTAGGCAAAGGATAACAAGAAAGAGGAGAGAAAGAAATATGAAGGGATGACAATCTTCCTTCCTCCTTGTGCGAATCTCCCTTGAGAGGTAAGAATCTTCACTCCTTTAGTTTAGGGCAAGCCCAATCTCCTTCTTCCTTTTTTGAATGACACTTTCTCTCCCTAGAATATGAAGAGGAAATTCTAATCTCTCACTAGAAACCGTCTTTTATTCTCAGCTCTCCATTTATACTCAGATCGCGCCCAGTTCACGGCCCTAGTTCACCGGCCGTGAACAACAATGCTTGAATCAAAATGCGCCGCTTCACTTCTGGGGGTTCATGGTCCATGGTTCTAGTTCACGGTCGTAGCGACCGTGAATTGCCTTGGCGTCAGTAACCTCAGAAACCCCTCCGAACGCTTTGTGGTTCACGGTTTGAGGTTCTCGTTCACGGTCCTGGCGACCGTGAACTCGCAGCTCTGACGCGAAGTGCTGCTGATTCCTGGACGCGTGCGCTTTACGGTCACAGGGCAATTGTCACGGCTTTGGACTTTTCTTCGGTTTTTGCGCTTGTCGATCATGTTTGTAATGTATAAAAAACAATCTGGTTGATTTTTGGACTGAACTCCTCTATATAGAGACGGAACTTCCAAAGTCACCCAGGTTGTTTTTCCAATTTGTATAGTTTGTCAGTCTAGTTGGTCATTTTTGTCCAACATGTTTGTAATGTTTGTAGGGGTGGGCATTCGGTTGGTTCGGTTTCGACCGAACCGAAATTATGAATATTAGGTCCCCGAATTCTCTCAAACCGAATTCGAACCGAATTATAATTCGGTTCGGTCGGTTTAAACCAAATTATAATTGGGTTCGGTTTTCACACAAAACCGAATTTGTGAAGCTACTTGTATCTTCTCACTTTAAAATTATTTTCACACCTAATATAAATAATAAATATGCAATTATATGCATCATCAATGGTAAAATCAAACTTTTCAACGCATAATTCATAAAACATTTCAAATATTTAAGTCTAAAAACAACTACAAACATAAAAATCAACCATTTGGAGCTTGCAATTATAGTATTTCGGTTTTTCGGTCGGAATTTCGAAAATTCGGTTCGGTTGAAAGAACCCTGGTTTCCGAACAATCCATATTTTCCTTCTGAATTCCGAACCGAATAACATTAATTCTAGACCTGGCAAATGAGGACCCGACCCGTTGACCCGACCTGAACCCGCTCGAAAAATAGAGAATGGGTTGAGATTTTTATAACCCGAACTCCGTATGACCCGAACCCGATCAACTCGTAGTTTTTGGGTCAGGTTGGGTTGGTTTGTGGGTCGACCCGCTAGACCTGTTTCATTGCATATATCACTCTCAAAATGATAAAATAACTCATACTTTGGTGAGATGTTTAAAAAAAATTATTAGGATTTGAAAGACAAGTTTGGAGTGTTAAGATAATCAAACATCATTTGTTTATTGTAGTAGTATTACTTTCATCATTGTTTTTTCACAATTTGTGCAATTTTTTCATTAGCATAGAAGGAGTTGAGCATTTGTTAATTGACATGTGCTAGGTAAACTATTGTCGCACATACGTAAAAATTTGTGTTCTTTAAAAATTTATGAAGCATGTTTGATATTGTTTCTGAGAACGCTCATGACCCGAACCCGATCCGAAACCCGATGGGTTGGGTCAATATTTGACCCGAAATCAGCAAACCCATCATGACCCGACCTGTAAAGACCCGTAACCCGATATTTCCAACCCGAAATTATCCAACCCGACCCGATTGTCAGGTCTTATTAATTCGATTTCGATTCGGTTTACTTTGGTTTCGATTCGGTTCGGGTTTACCGAACCGGTTGCCCATCCTAGTCCGGTGCGTTCTACTACCGTATTTACGTTATTACGTATATGCCAACGATATATAAAGGTCCGACCGTCTCCTTAGGGACTAGATACTATAACAACACCCCTTGTGTTGTTATTGTAACAACACTAGCCTCCAACCAATAGGAAGCTAGGATTGTGATGACTTTTTATTAGATGAGTTGACCTAGTGTAAAATCAAAGCAGGGGTATAATTGTCATTATGAAAAATCTGTTTAAATAATAAAAAATAAAAAAAATATTTTTATTTTTTGCCCAAAAATTTGGTCGCCGGAATTCTGCCACCGGTCGCCGGTCACCGGAATATGCTTTTTGTCGGCGGAATATGCTATTTTGCCATCGGAATATGCTTACCGTCGCCGGAATATGCTTACCGGCGTCGGAATATGCTTACCGGCGTCGGAATATGCTTACCGGCATCAGAATCTAGTCATCGGGGCCGGAATATGCTTATCGGCGCTGGAATCCGGTCACTGACGGTCACCGGAGTTCGGTCAACGGTCAACGATCACCGGATGTTATGGTCTGCATTGTGAGATTTATGGTTTGGTTTCTCATTATTTTGTACGCCTTTTGTGGTTTGCTTTATCGTGTTTGTGGTTTGCATTGAGAAGTTTCTGGTTTGCTTTATCGTGTTTGTGGTTTGCATTGTGAGGTTTCTGGTTTGCTTTCAAAAACTTTGTGGTTTGCATTGTGAGGTTTCTGGTTTGTTTTAATATATTTGTGGTCTGCATTAGGACGTTTATGGTTTGCTTTTTTGTGGTTTGCTTTGTGATGTTTGTGGTTTGCATTAGGAGGTTTCTGGTGTGCTTTCGCAAATGTTGTGGTTTGCATTGTGGGTTTTGTGGTTTGTTTTAGAAGATTTGTGGTATGCATTAGGAGGTTTCTGGTTTGGTTTATTGTGTTTCTGGTGTGCTTTCGGAATACTTGTAGTATGCTTTGTGAGGTTTCTAGTTTGCTTTATTGTATTTCTGGGTTGCATCAAGAAGTTTATGGTGTGCTTTCGAAATTTTTATGGTTTGATTTGTGGGGTTTCTGGTTTGTTATAATGGATTTGTGGTTTGCACTAGGAGGTTTATGGCTTGTTTTACGGTCTCACAGTAAAGTAGAGATCATGAATCGATCTCACACAAATGAAGATGGCTAGCTAGCACTGCACGGCCGTACACACATACATCGTTCTCACACACATACATGCATAAACATATATATATTGTTTGCGTCATCAAATCAAATCACATGAGCAAGCTCCTGATAATGGCGGCCTCGGGACTGTCGGAGTCGATGAATTGGAATTCCGGCACACAAGAACTTAATTACCTTACCGGGGTTTGTAACGAGAGAAGATTTGGCGGTGTTTATCTTGCAGGGATCTCCGACGGCCTGTCCTACGGTTGGGACGAAGTCGAGAGGAGCAAATTTGGAGTCTCCGACACCTGTTCGCCAGTGCAATCACACTGTCGTCTATAATAAAGTAAGGAGGTCTAGTGAGTAAAAGCACTCAACAGATGCAACAGGAAATGAAAGTCACATTAAGCTTCTTCTATTGCGGTAATTGAAGTCCAAAATGAATGATAAGAAAACAAGGAAGCATTACTGGTATCTGATGTATATACCTGTTATACACACACAACCACACAAGTCCAGCGTTCCAAGATCAGGACATCCATTTGCTAAACTCATCACCCCAACATCCCCCACGTTCTCGCACCACCTGAGATTCAATTATTGCAGTTGACTACAATTGCGTCCAATAGCCTGCAAGGGGTTCCTTCCGCTCGCCGTCTCCACCGCCGAGGAGTACAAGATCTGGAAGGACACCGTCATTCCCAGATCCAATTCCCCCTCGCCCGACCCGGTCAAAACCGTTTCCTCTTCTGTTTCCGACGACGGAGGGGAGGAAAAATCGCCGTAGTGCTGGAGGACGGTGTTCTGGGGGCCGAACAGGGGCGAAGACTTCACGATCCTCCAGGCGCTTTTCAGCCTCGACATGCTGATCCTGTTCATCGCGTCGATCTGCGGCGTCGGCGAGACGCTGACGGCGATCTGCAATCTGGGCCAGATCATCTGAGCTCGGGGGCGCGAGGGTGTATGCGGGGAGGGCGGCGACGGCAGGGAATTGGAGGACAGCGTAGAAGACGCTTTGATCGTGAATTTAGAGGATAGGGTTATGAATTTTCATTGAAATTATTTTATTATTATTTATATGTAATTTACCCTTTTACCCTTAATGAATCATGTTGTTACAATAACAACACTAAATGTGTTGTTATTCTATCCGAGCCCGTCTCCTTACCTCTGTCGTTGGACAGTTCAGAGATCTTTTTTCTTCTCACTTTTAGATCGTTTTCGTTTCCCCCTCTCTATCGAGGGTTTTCTTACCTTTTTTTCCCTCTTTTTTTTTCTTCTTCTTTCCTTTCCATTTTCTTTTCCTTTTCCGTAAAATTTCCCATTTCAATTTTCTCGATTCGTATTTCTTTCTCTCTGGTTCTCGTCGCCTGCGAACGGAACCCTAATCCTTAGAGGCGAGACATGATGCAGCAACAGCAGAGGCTTAAGCAACAACAGGTGATGAGCATGATGCAATACCACCCTGCTTTTCTAGCTACTCCGCAGGTTCGTTTCTTTTCTTTCGTCATTCAGTCTTCTATTATTCTGATTTATGCGTCGGATTTGTACTACTTTTCTTGTTTAGAGTATGTGAAATTAGTGCATCGGAATGGAGACTGGTGGATCGTGTGTATGAATTTTTGACTGATTAGTTTGTTGGCGGTGTTCTTTTCTCTTTCGGGGCTGTTTGTGAGTCTGGTTCTATAAAAAAAAAAAAAAAATCAAAATTTGAGCCACAGTTTTGTCCATGGGCAATTACGGCTGGAGTTGACCGACCTTTTCGTCCATTGGGTTGGGCGTTGAACAGTCAGTAACCTAGTTTTTGTTTTGCTTCAGCGACTCCCGAACTCTTTTTAGTTCTTCAGTTTCTAATATGTTTGTCCCGAGTACAAGGAGAGTTGAGCGTAGGATTCTTTGTTGAGAATTAGGGTTACATTTTTTCATTTTATTTTATTTTTCTTTTGTTTTTACTTTCTGTATTTTGCAGATAGAGCCTATCTTGAGTGGAAATCTGCCTCCCGGGTTTGATTCAAGTACATGCCGCAGTGTGTGAGTGTTGTAGCCTTTTCCCTTTTTTTTTGGTTTTCTTTTGCAGTTTCCTCATTAATCATTGCTTCTTGATGTTTTCTAATGTACGGATTGAGTTGGATGAACTTGTACTAGTGCTGAAGATAAAAGTTTCTTTCCTTGAGGGTTCTGCCTCATAAATTTGATTGACAAGTGAATTTAACCACTGGCCTAGTGTTGGAGGAAGAATATCCAACGAACATATATTGGTTGAGAATTTGGGGCCATCACTTATAAAGTGATATCTGGTCTTGCTCCTTGTAGCCATGCATCTGCTATTGTTTTAGCTGTGGGAAAGGTGTTTAAAGTAATTTTATCCATATTTGTGTGCTTCTGTCATCTTGATTGAATGTAAAGTTGTTGCTTCTTTGATGGGAAACTTCAGGTACGTGGGGAACATCCATCCCTCGGTTACAGAACCCCTTCTTCAGCAGGTTTTTTCGAGTACAGGACCTATTGAAGGATGTAAGCTCATTAGGAAAGAGAAGGTTGGTCTTTCTCTGCAATAGAATTATTTGCATTTGCCTGTTGATCTGTTGTCCATATTTGTATTGAGCAATTCAAACATACTTTGTCGACCTGCTTATTCAATGGCACTTGCTCTATTATCTGCACTTTATGCAGTCATCCTATGGCTTTGTGGACTACTTCGACCGTAGATCTGCTGCGCATGCTATTTTGACCCTAAATGGAAGGCCTGTGTAAGTTGCATCTTGGCTGAGAAATTTGTTTGTCCGGCTTACTATTTCTGCAATGTCATGTTTCTTGATTGTAATCTGCAGCTTTGGACAACCTATCAAAGTTAATTGGGCATATGCTAGCAGTCAGCGAGAGGATACTTCAGGTTCTGTACCATTTCCAGCTTTCTATTATTTGGGCTTTGCAAGCCATTGTGCTTACTGTTTCTGATCGTCTTGTGATATCTTGTATTTGCTTGTAGGTCACCACAATGTTTTTGTTGGTGATCTTAGCCCGGAAGTTACAGATGCTACCTTATATGCGTACTTCTCCAGTTATCCTACTTGCTCGTAAGTATCTTATTCCTTGTTGTTTCGGTTTATTCTTAGCAAGCTGGCATACTAGGTGCTTATTCATGTGATATTTATTCTTGATATTATTCAACAGAGATGCAAGAGTTATGTGGGACCAGAAGACTGGCCGTTCAAGGGGGTTTGGTTTTGTTTCTTTCAGGAACCAGCAGGTTTGTTGAATCTATTACTTTCACCTATTTATGCCACAAGGATTCATGTTTCTAGGATGTAATTTGTTGTTCTAATTAGCTCGTGCATTTCTGTTCTTTCTCAGGATGCTCAAAGTGCCATTAATGATTTGAACGGTATAATTTCTATATTTCTTGGTCTCTTTTGCTTGTCTACATCCAAGCTATTTATGCTTCATTGGTGCTTTAGTTGGTTGCAATAAAATTGGTAGACCTTTTGTCAAGATGGTTTCTGGGTCAGGTTTATGTGAACCAGTTGGTGCTATGCCATGGGCTTCGCCACCTTGCTTCACATTGTTCTGTGCATCTCTTTCATTAACACTACAGGAAGATATCAATCTGTTATCTATGACGAAATCCAAGAGTGACTAAATTTTCCTGTTATCGTAATTAAATATAAGTATATAATAGGATTTGCCTGTTCGTAGATTTGCAGTATGCTTTTGTTTTGTTTACTTAACATGTGAAATTTCTCCTGAAAAAAATGTTCTTTTAGCCAACGTAACCATATTTGGGACCTTATGTTACTGTGTTCATATGACAGGTAAGTGGCTCGGAAGCAGACAAATCAGGTGTAATTGGGCCACAAAAGGAGCCAACTCTAATGATGACAAACAGAGCTCTGATGCCAAAAGTGTTGTGGAGCTAACAAATGGTTCCGGTGAGCTCTTAGGTTATGTTATTTCTTGTACTTACTGATCAATGATGTTATGGTTAGGTTGCATGGCAAGTTTTTTTTTTTTTTAATAATTGTGAATGCATTAACTAAGTAAGGGCAAAACAAAGTACAAATAACAGAAAAGAAATGGCTTCACAAGCAGTGAAAGACCCAACCCCAAAACAACACAGAAACAAATAGGAAAGAAACACGTCACACTGCCAGCAAGGGCATCGATAGCCGCCCAAAAGCCAGTAAACCAGCATACAAACGACGCTGGCCCAAAAACATCAAAGTTTGCATGCCAAGTTGTTGAGATTTGTTTTAGAACGGTAACATATGTTGATGGCAAAGTAGAAATTGAAACGCTTTGAGTTACCAATTTTGTAATCTACTTTTTTTGTCTTTGTGATGCATTCTTCCTTTCTGATGTATTTTTGCAATGGTTTAAAATTGTAGGCACGATTTTGTATCATTTTTAGTTTATGTTTTCTTGTTTTCACTGCTGAAAACAAAGACTAAAACTTATTTAGTTTTGTTTCCATGTGTTGGGAGTTGGCAACCCAAGTTGAAACTAGTTAAACTATTCTAAGTTGCTTCTTTGCTGTTTCCAATAATAATTTCTTGTGGGAACCTATCACTTGTTGGAATAATTTCATATAAAAGAATCTATAATTAAAGCTCACCGGATCCACTTCCTACATAATTCTCCATCTTAAATTTTGAAGTTTCTCATAACTAAATAATTTTAAATTTTCCTCAATGTTCACATTTTTTTCCTCTTCATTATTTCTACCTCTCAATTTAACATAAGTTGTTGGAGTATTATTTTTCCCCCTCAAATTTCTCATATATCTATTATGCCATACTATTCTTCACATTATTTCCTACTTTTGTCTTAGTCTCGCACAATATTGATACTAAACGGAGTCGAAAGAAGTAACTAAACGCACTTATGTTTTTGGTTGTCAACTTTCATGATTTTTCAGAATTGCCGACAAAAGAAGTTTTGTGTTTTCTATTTTCATCCGGTCGTGGTTGTACTCTGTTGTCACAACTCTCCTACAGCCACAAAAGTAACAAACCTATACCAAACGTGCCCTTAGGCTTTGTCAAATCTAATTGTAGTATTTGAAAAGCACTCTTCATCCTATGTAGTTGCAATGCATGAAAAGAAATGTGGGAACTTACTCTGCTTGCTCGTTTGCGCAGATGATGGGCAGGACAAGAAAAGTGATGACGCCCCAGAGAATAATCCTCAGTATACAACTGTTTATGTCGGCAATCTTGCTCCAGAGGCAGGGTTCTAACTCATGCAATTTCTATCTTACGTTTTCTATCCATTTGCATATAAAGTCCTTTGATCTCGGACGGAATTTCGTTGCATATTCAAATGAATTACTTTACCAGGGATGCAAACCTCAATGGCTCAATCATCTAATCCATTTGTTTGGTATGTTTGGCTATGAATATAGTTCTATGTTCTGAACTCTGCATTGGTCAGTCTGGTTGAGTAGCTAAACTGCTAGGGGTAGCATTTCAACCTTAATGGAAGTCTCTTTGGCTTGAGGATGATTTGAAGTTCTTTTTCTTGTACTTCTATGGATGAGATAGCTAGAGTTTCTTGTCCTCAAGCCTTATGGTTTCCACTTATCAAATCCGGATGAAGCCAGCTACCCAGTTTCTAGTCTCATTATTGAGTTAAAGGAAAATGATATGCGACTTTCTCTTTTTTGTGGTTTTGTATTTCTGATCGAGGTAGTCTGCAGGTTACATCTGTTGATCTTCATCGGCATTTCCATTTGCTTGGAGCTGGTACTATTGAAGATGTGAGAGTGCAGCGAGATAAGGGTTTTGGGTTTGTGAGGTACAGTACACATGCTGAAGCGGCTTTCGCAATCCAAATGGGAAATGCGCGGATCCTGTGTGGCAAACCAATCAAGGTATCACAAAATAGTTTGGTCTCGTGTCTTGTTTGTAAATGCCGGTGGTTTGTTGTTCTGTTGCTGTCAATGCTTCCTCTTTTGATGTGGCGGTTAGAGAAATATCAAGCATTGTTGATGCTTAATATGTTTGACTTTTCAAATTGGTTGATGCTTGATGCAGTGTTCATGGGGTAGCAAGCCCACTCCACCAGGGACAAGCTCTGCTCCTCTTCCCCCGCCAGCAGCTGCACAAATTCCAGGGTTTTCAGCAGCTGACCTTATGAATTACGAGCGGCAGATGGCTTTGAGCAAGATGGGGAGCATGCAAGCGGCCCTGATGCAGCATCATGCTGCTCAGGGTCAGCATGCCATGAGACACGCAGCAGCCATGGGAATGGGCGCTGCTGTTGGATCTAGCCAGGCTATCTATGATGGTGGGTTCCCAAGCGTGGCGACTACTCAGCAGCAACTAATGTACTATCACTAAATCGAAGCAAGAAGCTGTGCTTTGATGTTTAAACTTGGGGGACTCCCCATGGCCCTGCCCACCTCTACTGGATGTGTGTACTACTACTACCTAAACCGTGGTACGGGCAGAGTGTAGTATTTCGGAAGTAGTGTCTGATAAGTCCCGGCTCCCTTTGATAGTGGTGACGGGTTGAAACACATACTGCTGGTGTGACTCTCGCCTGTATCTTTTCTTTTTTTCCATCCACCGTCTTTTGTTTGATTTACTTACAGTTGGTGTTTGTCAGAACAGTTGTTTTGCATTTTCTTTTCGCACTATTTCAACTTTGTTTATGAGCAAGTTACTTGGATGAGTGTTGTACATCTATTTTTTACAGTGAAAGATAATATTTTGATCTAGTTACGTGGAAGATAATATTTTGTCACAGAATGAGAGATCCAATCGGTTATAACATTAAACTTTCTAGACAGAAAGCTTGTCCCTAGTTTGAGGCTTCATTCTGAAGATTCAGATCATTGATCCTAGTTAGATGCATCCCCCAAGTCAAAGTCGAAGAATCTTGGATTATACTCGGCTAATTTGAAACATTTCGAAAGAAACAAAGTCGCAGAATCTTGGATTATACTTAGCTAATCTGAAATATTTCAAAAGGCTCATTGTTTCGACTTCAATTGGGATAGAACAAAAGACATTCGCCTATTATATACTTATCGATGGTGGTTAATGACCATAATACAATAAGCTGCGTGCAGGGAAGCATATAGAAACGCTCCATCACAATGAAGAACCATTGAGTGATTCCTTGGCGATGGAATAGTATGAGACTATGTTCCACGACGTCCAATCATTGAAGTCCCTAATGGTTTCCATACGGACATTCAGAGGCAGCAATTGTATTTATGAAAACAAATTCATGCCCCACCTTCCATATATTCCAACAAAGGAAGGCAAGACGAATAAGAATTCTAGGATGGATAACTTCTTTTAGGGAGCAGAACTAGTCGTAGAAAGACGTGGATTGGGAAGGCATGAGGAGGTAGGGGAAACGTTATTCCAAGAACTAACTGCATGGATGTAGGCGAAGAGACAATGGAAAAGAGATTCATTCAAATCCTGGAAAACATGGCATGTCGAGTTTGGATAGCACTTTCGATAGAGAAGTTTCTCCTTTGTTGCCAGTTCATTCATGGAGCACCTTGATTCCACGTGTGAGATCGAGTAATAAAAACAATGCACACAAAATCCTAACCCTAACAATGTTAAATATACCACTATTAGACTGGCAATATTGGTCGTATTCCCAAGGGATCAGGATACCCTAACCTACTCCCATTAAGTTGGAATGTTATCCAATCAACAATTGTTTGTTTATGGTACTGAGGAATTACCAATACCAGAGACAAGATAAGAGAAAACGATGCTCGAGGCGAGCTACCCTCACCTTAACTATAGGCAGACATGCAAATGGAAGGTAATGGATTTAGGCAACTGTGGTGCGGAGGTCATTAAATTGGGGGTCGGTGCAAATGGTCATGTCTCCCCTCCCCCCCCCCTCCTAGCCACGTCCAGTGACCCAAGTCACCACAACCGGCTTCCATGACTAGGGATGATGATTTACCTCCTCTAATTATATTCTACCCGTTCGCACACAAGTTCTGCAAGTCAGTCAATGGTCAGGCACCCGTATCACAATCATTATCTAGGTGAGCTCCTAGTTGGCAAGGGATGATCACCACGTCCATCAACTAGGACTCCATATCAACTATCTTAGGCAAGAGGGATTCATTCACATACAATTAAGAAATAACCTAAGGGACTCTATGGCTAGATCATGCTAGACATTCATTCACACACTCAAACCAAGATAGAAGCATGAATAACACTAGATAAACACAATTTCATCGTAAATTAACAATACCCAATCATTTACACATCAAAGTCCTAGGTTAGAGTTTGGGGACAAAGCCCAAAGTACTATAAAGTACTACCCCATCAATGGGGGTAGGGGTGGGCAAACGGTTCGGTAAACCGGAACCGAACCGAAACCGAATTAAACCGAACCGAAACCAAATTAATGCTATTCGGTTCGGAATTCGGAAAGAAAATATGGATAGTTCGGAAATCAGGATTCTTTCAACCGAACCGAATTTCCGAATTTCCGACCGAAAAACCGAAATACTATAATTGCAAGCTCCAAATGGTGGATTTTTATGTTTATAGTTGTTTTTAGACTTAAATATTTGAAATGTTTTATGACTTATGTGTTGAAAAGTTTTGTTTTATCATTGATGATGCATATAATTGATATTTATTGTTTATATTAGGGGTGAAAAATAATTTAAAAGTGAGAAAATACAAGTAGCTTCACAAATTCGGTTTTGTGTGAAAAACTGAACCGAATTATATTTCGGTTTAAACCGACCGAACCGAATTATAATTCGGTTCGAATTCGGTTTGAGGTTTGGGAGAATTCGGAGACCCGGTATTCATAATTTCGGTTCGGTTGAAACCGAACCGGCCGAATGCCCACCCCTAAATGGGGGAGGAAAACCATGCATAGAAAAGGTCTTCTTCTTGTGCGGAAAAATTCTTCTCCAAACTCCTTCTTCTCTTCTTCTCCTCTTCCTCAACAATACAACTACTTCTCTCCCTAACCTCTCCAAGATTTAGAAATCTCAAAAGTCTGTTTGCATAGCGGGGGCAACCCTCTATTTATAGGGAATCGTTGACACAAGAAATTCGCGGGCGACTAATGCGAGATTGTGGGTGCAATCTTCTTCTTTAGGTTGCAAAGTCGAAACAGTGATGTGGTGGGATACTCGGGCGGTGAGATTACGGGCTATAATTCACGGTAACGAGCAGGAACTCACAATCGTGATCTTTATAAAGGTCTCAAATGTGAAGGACCGTGAGGTAGACTGCAAGACCTTATATACTCAATGTTTGCAGGCTCTTCAAGATCACGACCGTGATCATGTGTGCCAGCCGTGATGTGTTCGTGGCCTAGCATCTTAGCATCCGTGATCTTGTGTCTTTGGTGTGATTTTCCGTTTGTGACTGTTTCTCCACATTTATGCTTGAATTCTTTGATAATAGCACTCAAATCTTGAAAAGCCACCTAGAAGATCACGAATATGAAATTGGAAGGAAATCTTGGCTAAATCAAGGTTCAGATGGTCTTTGGATGCTTGAATCTTCATGAAAACACTTTAGACTTAAGGACTAGATAACACCATTTCAGGTGTGATCAAATTCCTCCACACTTAGACGGTTCTTGCCTCAAGCAAACATGTAACTAAAACATTCAACTCAGCATCCCTAGCCTCTCCCCTCAATTTGTTTCTTCATGGATTAGTAGTCACTAGAAATGCACATTTTTCATTTCAATGTTTGACTCGATTCAGAAAGTTACGACTAACATGTTCTTGAGTGACCAAAGATTGGTGCAAGATGCAATATCACAACTCATAGGTGTAAGCAAGAGGATTGAATGCTCCAATGATTCTATTATTTACTTTCTCCTCAACCATTATTCTCTTTTTGTAAATTTTTCTTCGAGGTTGTAGCAACTTTGAATTTATTTTGTTATTTCCTCAATCCGGGCAAGTTGGGGAGTCTCTTTTACGACTCTTTCCACCTACCTATACCATGGTCCGTTGGGAGGGACACATAACCCTCTTTTAAGAACGAGCAACCACCCTCTTTATTTGATTGAAAAATGTTAAGTTGGGAGAAATCACATAACCAAGAAAATTTTGACAGATCTACACCTTGTAGTCAAGATTTTCAAACAAGCAACCTATCATCCAAACACTTTTCAAACATAGACTCTGTGACACGTTGAAGAATAGAAAATTGGCACTCCATCCTAGGCTCATCTTAAATGCACGGGGCCTAAACTAACTACCCCATCTTGAGGCCAAGAATAACTCAAAATGGTGTTTCTAGTACATGGCAGACCAAGGTCGTATTCCTCGGGTCATCGATATTCTAAGCTACTTGTCACTCAGTTGTTATCTAGTAAATCAGGTTTTGGTTGCAGAACAGTTGGTAAGAAATGGTCATGAAAGCATAAATGAGAAAGCAGGTACCTGGGGATCCACCCTCGCCCTAGTTACTATGTATGTCATGAAAAAGGATAGAATTTCCGATTTATGGGGAATGAAGTGAGGGAATCACTAATACAAGAGCTAGCTCAATGGGCATGCAACTAACCCCCTCCTAATCTAATCCACTGACCTAATCACGTCGAGGGGAAGATCTTGGAGCCATGATAGCTTGGTGGTGAACTACAAAACGGTTGAATCTAGGAATGCATGGGTTATGTGCTCCATTGCTACCTTGGTCTTTGGAGACCGTCTTTTTGTTCTTCATTAGGGTGCTCCGAAAGTGGTGCTGGATGTGGTTGTGGTTCTTCTTCTTTTTCTTCTTCTTCCAATATCACTTCCTTTTGCTTAGTTTTACTCCTTTTCTTCCTTGAGTATTGATGAGTTCTAGGAGGGTTGGTCCTCTCCCAAAGTTGGGAACTCTCCCCTCGGAGCATACCCTTATGCTTGTTCGGTTCCCTACACAAAAGAAGCATTGTAAAAGGTACACAAGAACCATTTATCCACTCACATATATAAATTTGAACTTTGTAAAACATCCTTGACCACCATCTATGCACCACCACACTTAATTGTAGTTATATATTCGAAGAGAGACCATAGTTGATAGAACATGAGGTAATGGATAAATTCAACTAAACGACTCTCATTCTCCACAAATAAGCCAAGCTAATGCATGAAAGGTTATATCTTGACTATACAAGTTGAAATCTAGAGCATAGAATCAAAGAATTAGTATATTAATTGATTGGGGAATTTGACGAACACTTTGTTGGCATACTGATATCGTCGTATTTGCGCATGTTTGCACTCGTGTTCTTTAACTGTTCTGGCTGGAATTTGTGGTTTCTTGGCCTATTTTACGATAGGTTGTTTTATTTTGTCACATTTAGGTCCTAGCAGGTAGAAGAATGCATAGGTGCAAGTTTTAGGTCATTTGGTGATCATTTGGCAGTTCCGGAGACAAAATACTGTCATCCCCTGCAAAAGCACAATAGTGCTTCTCGTGATGCCAGCCGGTATTTATTCGGTCGAGCATGGTGATGGCTCAGGTAAAAAACATGTTCAAGATTCCCAAAAGCACGACCGTATTTCTGCAGCATCCAGCTCGTATTTGTATGGACGAGGCTAGCCCTTGAAGATTTCTAAAGGAAGGAAAATTACGGGCAGGTGAGGACTAAAGCACGATCGTGCTTTACAAAATAAAACTGGGGCTTTTCAAAATACTGTCATTATTTTTCCCAGACGCGACCGTGGATTTCTCCGTCTCAACTTAAGCGAAACACGCGTTTTGGGCAAAATAAGGGTGAAGGAGAAGCTCGACCGTGCTCTTGCCCATATTTCACCCACTATCCGGGTAAATAGGCAGATTCGAGCCAAGGGAAGGGGATTTGACTTTTTGGAGCAAAAACTGAGTTTAGAGAGAGAAAGTGACAAAGAACAAACCCTAGGAGCTATTTGGAGTGGATTTCTCACCATTGAAGCCCAAATTGTGTCTTTAGGAGTGAAGATTGACATCCCAGAGCAAATTATTCTCATCTTTATGAGAATGACTACTTTGATTTCTGTTTTCCTCTCTCTCTATCTCTCTCTCTCTCTATATATATATGGAGTAGACCATTCTCTCACTTGGGTATGAAGAACCCTAGTTCCATGTGTGAGGAATCTTGCTTTTAATGAATTTTGGGATGATATATTGAATGGTTTTAATCGATCGAAGTGTGTTTATTGAGTCAATTGAATCCTTATCAACTTCTCTTGATTTATGCTTCAACCTGTGATAGATAGAATATGATTAGGTCGTTAGAGCTTCTTCATTCGATAGGAGCGAATTGATTGTACGAGAGTCAGTTAATTCACTACTTGGTACTAGAATCTGTTTCCAGTAGTGGAGTTCTGTGTGAATTGCCTTGGCATTCTATCCCGGTGAAGGCTAGTCCTCTGCCAGATAGCATGTCTAAGAGGGCTTGGTCAGCTTAATAGATTTCAAGCTACTTTCGGATCTTGCGCAGTTTAATCAAAAGTGAATCCACCAAAGGGAATTACAACTTGAAGCTAATTAAGGAGCTAAGGGGACTAATTACCGAGTGACTCTTTTCTTGCTTCATAAACCGAACAATTTACTGCTTTCTTTCTGCTTTAGTTTAAACTCATTCTTACTCAACTTTCCCTGCTAGATAATAGATAATCATGAAGTAGGCAGTACATCTAGGCCCCGGGTTGACTTTTATTACTTGATCCCACTATACTGCATTTCCATTCTGCTATTACACTTGGTCGAAGTTTGGTGTTGTGTCGTAGCGAGCCAAGTTTTTTGCGCCATTGCCGGGGAACTCTAGGTTATTGTAGAAATGTGAACGTTTGTTACTTTAGCATTACTTTTCTGCATTTGTTTTCCTTCCCCTGTTTGCTTTCCCGGGTTGCGTCTGTAGTCTGTGTGCAGGTAGTGCATGACCTGTAGCCAGTCAGGAAATCTACATCCGTTAGACCCAAAAGTTTAATGAACTTGTTACCAGTTTTAAGCACTCAAACCGAGATTGGCTACGGATGACTTGGATAAGGTCGTTGTTGCTGACGGATCTGAGAGCAAAGATGACATGGGCGAACCCAATGCTGTCGGGGCGGTTGTCTCTGAGGAGCAGACTATGAGACAATACTGGACCGCCAAGGATGAGGACATGAGGTCTAGCATCCAACACGCTCAAGTTTCAGCCAACAACTTTCAAGTGAGCACCTCGGTTATCACTATATTGAGAGGCTCAGTGGTATTATATGGGAGAACAGGCGAGTGTCCCGACGCGCATTTGAGGCGATTCCACGAGCTGATTGATGGGATCAAGATATATGGGGTCCCTCAAGATGCCATCCAATTGCACTACTTACCATTCACCTTGGAAGGACTGTCAAAGTTGTGGTTGGACAACCGGCCTCCAGGATCAATCACCACACCGACTTGGCCAACAAATTCCTGACCCCGCTATCATCCTCCCAAAACAGTGGACCTGCTGATGGAGATTACCCACTTTGCCCAAGAGGAGGACGAGACCATCCGGGATGCTTGTGAGAGACATACAAGTCTCTTCCTGAAGTGCCCAAACCACGGGTTGAACGATGCTTTCAAAGTCTGTACCTTCCATTGGTCCCTCTTAGTTGAGGATAAGCAGCTAATCGATTCGGTTTGTGGCGAGAATATGCTGACCAAGATGCTACCGCAATTGAACCAACTCTATGAGGAATTGGCAGAGCAGGGGTGTAACACCCCGACTTTTAGAGACAGGTTTATCCCAAAATAAATGGATGGGTTTGGGTCAACCATTGGACATAAATCTTCCAGAGATTGGTCTGATAACAAAACCCATTTGAACAAGACTTGAATTCGTCCCCTATTTGATTTTCGGCGAAGAAAGGATGGAATGATGGGTCCTTGCGTGTGGGCCTATTAATCAAGTGTAGCCAACAAATTCAAGGTGCTCACTTGTCTTCATCCGCAATGTAGAGCCCATTCTCATGCCATAACAAGAGCAGGTAATTAGAGTAACCACAAATAAAGTGAAATTGGTGCAAGGTGGGCTGGAAGCGTGATGAAATCCATCTTAGCATATAAACATAATGCAATGGGGTTTTCGGGGAGGGGGATCAGCTACGAAAACACACATAGCTGAGAGAGGTTGAGAGGGCAGATGGCGGCAGGAAATAGCGAGGTGATTTGCGGTTGATAAGGTGGAGAAGAGAAGCGAGTTTCTGGGGACGGAAGGAGAGCCAGAGACGAGTGGTGAGGCTGCAAGGATTCCTCACCTATCAAGGATGGTGCTATATACAACCAGCTGCATGCGTAAGCTGACTCAGATCAGAAGTCTTTCCCCTCGACAAGGGTTTGACAACCATGAGCCAGCACTGCTGCTTAAGGGTAAGTAATTCCATCCCCTCTCGAGCCTCAATAATTGGATATCAGAGATTTCAGTTCTGATGGGATATGATGGTGCGCTGTGGCTGTTGTTGTGATGAAAGTAATGTGCATAAGGGCTTGGCTAAATCGTGTAAATAGAAGTTTAAGTAATTGAAGTTGATATGAGATATGAAAATGGTGGGCAATATCAATGAAGTGAGGACGATTTGTATTGGCTAGAATGAATAATTGTTAGATGAATTGCATCAGGGCTTGGCTAAATCATGTAAATAGAAGTTTAAGTAATTGAAGTTGATATGAGATATGAAAATGGTGGGCAACATCAATGAAGTGAGGACGATTGGTATTGGCTAGAATGAATAATTGTTAAGCCATACATGCATGAATGAATTCACGTGGGTAGTGGGAAGATAATGGAAAAGGTTGTCCTCCTTTGGGGGTTCCGATGAATTAAAAGGAATGTCACTAACGATGGGAAGTTAGCATGAATAAGTTGACAAGGCCAAATTCTTCGTAGCAAATCTTTTTGGATTGCATTTTAGGGATCTAAGTAGATTAATGATGCAACCCCTCTGGTTTCTTCTTACATGCGGTTTGGGAGGAGACTTCAAGCAGTAATAGAGGACCAAGGGTGGATACCAAGTTACAACAACCTTGTATCGAGTATCAGATTTCGGTATTAGAATGAGTGTAAAGGGGGTAAATTCTACGTCTTACGTGTTTTTACAAAGTATTACGAGCTTTACTTATTTTGGTGAAGTGATTGTCATGGTTTGATTTTGCTTATGATTGGTGATTTTGAATGATGAGCTTTGATTGAAGTGAATATGTATGAGTCCTTATTTACTTTAAAGCTTTACGTTATGAGTTATTGTTAAAGTTTAAGAAACAATAACTCATAACGTGAATTATTGGTGATGATTTGATTGTCTTCTCGGACGGATCAAATTATGGGTTCCAGAGGTTGAACGAGATTCTAGCTCGATTTAGGGTGCTATCTGGACTAAAAGTGAATCCAAGTAAATGTGAATTGTTTTTTGGGGGGATGTCTGGCTCTGAACAGAAACTAAGGGCTGACAGATATGGGTTTGCTTTGGGAAGATTCCCTGTGAGGTACCTGGGGGTCCCTTTATCCTCAGGGAAACTTACTGTGGCAGCTTGTAAACCACTTATTGATAAGATAGTTGCACGTATAAGTAGCTGGAAGTCGGAGTTTCTTTCATATGCTGGAAGAGTAGAATTGGTAAGTTCAGTCCTGTACAGCCTTCATCAGTACTGGATGGCAGGTTTTCCTTCTCCCTAAAGCAGTGATAAAGGAACTGGAGAGTATATGCAGTAATTTTCTTTGGGGGTGGGGGGGGGGGGGGGGGTCAGAGTGGTAGGGTGAAAGCTAAAATAGGTTGGAAGAACCTTACTTACCCTAAGAAGGAGGGGGGCTGGGGCTAAGGGACCTTGCTACTTGGAATATAGCATGTGTAACGAGGCATTTATAGCTCCTTTTAATGCAACATGCTTCTCTATGGGTGGCATGGATATGCTTATACAAACTAAAAGGTCAGGATTTTTGGGAATATGGTGGTGTTTCTGGATCATGGAACTGGAAAAGAATCTTGAAAGTGAAGCATAAGGTCAGAGGGCATTTTCATCAGCAAGGGCAACAGGTCTTTTGGGACCAGAAAAAAATGGACAAATTCTCAATAAAGAGAATCTGGGATACTCTGAGACCAAGAAGGCAGGAAGTGGATTGGTTCAATCTGTTATGGAAGGGTAGTTCTATCACTCGCAACAAATTTATTACATGGCTTATCCTAAGTAAAGCTGTAACTACAAAGGAGAAGATGGCTAAATGGGGTTACTCAGGTAGTTTGGGATGTGTGTTTTGTAATTGCCAGCTTGAAACTACTGACCATTTGTTTGCTAAATGCGTGCTATATAGGTTTTTGAAGTGTCAGTTGTATGGGAGTAGGTCTGGAGTCTCCTCTTCTCTAGACAATGAGATTGGCTGGTTAAGGCAGAAATTTGGATCAAAATCTGTTGACTCTCAAGCTGGGAAGGCTTTGTGGCAGAGCCTTGTGAGTATTATTTGGCGAGAAAGGTGCAGTAGGGTATTTACAGGAGTGTGCAGGGATATAGAAGTTTTGTGCAAGGTTATTCGAGAGGAAGTAGTAGTGATTTTTGGTAGACAAGTTTTTGACTCATATGTATAGCGTTTTATAGGTAAACTTGAATATTCCTAACTGGCAAGGATGTTGCTAGTGCCACCTTTTTTGATGGAATGAGAGCAAACCGATTCATAAAAAAAAGTTTAAGAAACAAGTTCTTTTTAAGAAGTACTTCACCTTCAAGAAGGTGAATCGTTTTAAGAGTTTTTAGTCACTAGCGCCAGTCTGTTTCCATTTGAGATTTTGAGATAGAGCAGTAGTTTTGCTCTTGAGACTTTTAAAATGAGCAATAGTTATGCTCTTGAGATATTTTAAGATGAGCAGCAGTTATGCTCTTGAGAATCGTGGAAGAAGACCGTTCCACGATAAGTTTAAGTTTAAGGAAAGCCAGGATGGCTTTTCATACGTATGAGCTGGCAATCGGACTAGCTAGTGAGGGATCCCCGTGTCAGTCAAGAATTTAAGTGGAGATTTGAGCTTTAAGAATACAGTTTTAAGAGTTAAGATTTTTAATAGTGGAAGTACAAAACAAGTTGCACTAAGTTACGTAAAGTGATCAAGTATTAATAAGATGTTAAACGTAAGGGCGTAGACTAACCCCATCTCACTCACCAGTTTGAAGAGCTAGAGGAGGAGCTAGAGGAGCAGTGAGTGAGCAGTCAGTTCGAGGGCAGCCAGCTAGAGGAGGGCAGTATAAGCGTCACAAAGGATGCTTAGTCAAGGTTTTCAGTAGCAACGACATTAGAGATTATTAGTTATTTATATTTATGGTTATGAGTATAAACTGGAGATCATTTTGAGATTTTAAGTATTGAGTTTGCCTACTTGTTAGGGCTTTGCTTTGAACTACAACAGTGTGTTTTCAGTATTTTATTATGAAATTTTCCCGCTACAATTTAAGATTTGGTTATTTTATTTTTCAAGGGCATTTTAGTAAAATTAGTGCTCGGCCGAGCTAGGGTGTTACATTTTGGTATCAGAGCCGGTCTTCCTCTGTTGCTTGGTCCCCCTAGAAATACTGGAATATCTGTCTCAGTTTTAAAGGTTTTTGTTTTTAAAGGAAAGGAAAAATGAGTCAAGGATCTTCTTTTAAGAGTTTATAGAGTCTCCAGTCTACTCTAATCATAATATGGTGAATAGCTATGACAGTACGACACGAGGCAATGGTAGCACGAAGGTGCGCTTGGTTTAAGAATAAGCTAGGGGACGATTTAGTTAACATGTCGTGGGACGTCAAATAAGAGACTGAAGTATATGGTGATTGTCAGTATGAAAGGAAGGATGCAAGGAACTTGGCCAACTTAAGTAGAATCTCAAGATACGAGGAAAATGAGGAGCCTCTTTAGCAGGAGGAATGAGGCGGGCTAAGAGTTGGAATCTTAGAACGTGCTAAAAAATAATTCATTAAGCCAACCGAGCATAGCCATGCAAGTAGAACGTTCAATGAAGCTTTGATAAATGGAAGGTAATTCTGGAAAGGGATTAAAGTGTCATGATATGGAGGACATACGTAATGAACTAAGGGAGAGCAATAAGGTTAGAGGAGTATGACGAGGAAAAAAATAAATGTTCGAGAAAGTGGAAAGCACTAAGTTACCTTATCCAAGGTGCCCCACTCTGAGCGAGTACGACATAGTAGGATGTCATCCATAAAAGGCGGAAAGTTAAGGATAAATTAGTGATATATAGTTAAGCCACTAAGAGTCATGACTAAGAGATTAAGGCTATGTACAAGCATCAATCGAGACAAAAGACGTGGATGAGGTATATTCAAGCTTACCAAAGGCAAGCCTCAATTGTAAGCTTTCACCCAAAACAATAACAAGAAGATATTCAACGGAGTTTGGTGAAAAAAATAATACAAAGCATTAACACAGAGGTAGTAAAAGTAAAGGAGCAAGGAGAACACCATAGGACACTATAAAATAATGGTGGTTGTAGACCGGACGACGAGTGTAGGAAAGAAGATGGTTAGTAAGGGCCGAAGAAGGAATTCGAAAGACAACAAGGAGGCATTGGGTTGACTGCAAGCGAAGAACAACTGATCCACAGGTCGGGCAATATAAAGGTTGTTGGTGAATTATACGTCGTAGTCTAAGATAACTCGATGACCATAGCATGATGTTGATAACGATGTAATTGTACATATTTGCGCCCCTAGTTCTTATCCGTTTGAGGGGCATAGTCGTGTATTTTTGGCATATTTTACGCCGGGTTGTGCTATTTTATCATATTTCAGGTCCCAGGCGTCAAAGGAAAGGCTAAGCACGAGTTTCGGGACATTCGGAAGTCATTCGGTGAAGCTGGAGCCAAAACACGGGCACACCTAAAGCAGAACACGACCGTGTTCCTAGGCCGTGCTTTTACTGCCGAGAGCTGATTTGAGTTGAAAACACGAGCTCAAAACACGGGCAGGGTTGAGGAAAAACACGGTCGTGCCCCACAAAAGCACACCCGTGTTTTCACCAACAAGCTGGCCGTGTAATTAACCCTTGGCAAAACACGGGCGGGCTGAGGCAGAACACGGCCGTGCCCTCGACTGTGTTTTGCCCAGTGATGCCCTTTTAAGCAGATTTCAGCCAAAAGAGAAGGGGATTGGAGTTTGAGAGAGATAGAGCGATTCATAGAGAGAGAAAGCGACGAACAAGAGTCTCCAAGTGCCCTAGCTTGATCTTCATCACCATTGGAGCTTGGCTTGAGCTTGGAAGAGTGCCAATCAACGTCCAGGAGCAGGAATCCATCCTTCACAGTATGAATTCCGCGTCTGAATCTGCTTTTGCTTCTTTCTCCATGGAGTAGTTCTCCCATTCATCTGGGTATGGGAAACCCTAGATTTGTATGTTAGGTTTGATTGTATGAACCCAAGTACTGATTCTATGATTTGATATTATTCAATTGAGGTTTGAATGATTGAATGGCATGAATCCTGATCAAATTCCTGTTGTTTCTGCTTTAACCTAGAATGAGAATATCTGCCTAGGTTGATAGAGCATCCTTGATTGAAGGTAGGGAGTTGGTGACTTTAGTCGAGGAGCCAACTCACTATTCTGTACCGAATTCACTTCGGTAGTGGAGGTTTTGTTCGTTAGGGCCTCAATCTGTTTACTCCGGTGGAGGTTAGTCGCCCGCTAGAGACTTAGATTGAGAGGGTCTGGAGACCTTTAGTCGAGACTTCAGACTGCTTAAGAACCTTCCGCAGTATAACTATCATAGAAACTGAACTTGGTAATTGCAATCTGGCTTAACTGCAGTCTAGGGGGAACCATATCCGGGTGACCTCTCTTAACCTGAAAACAACCGTTTAGTTACTTTGTTGGTTTGTTAGTTTAGACTTGCATTAAAGTTTCATTGCTAGATAACAAGAATTCACCGAGTAGTCATCAAATCTAGGACCCGGGTTGACATTAAAACCCGAACCCGCTATACTACGCTTTAGGAAGTGGTTTCACTTGGCCAATTCCTAGAGTGACAGTAGAAGTGAGTCAAGTTTTTGGCGCCGTTGCCGGGGACGGCTAGGTTGTTGAAGAAAAGTGATTTCTGTTAATTTAGCTTTTCTTTTCGTATTGTTTGCTTTGTCCCATTTGTGCCTTCACGGGTTTGCTTGCTTGAGTGTGTGCAGGTAGTGCATGACCCGTAGCCAGTCGGGAGGTTTACTGCCGTTGAATCCAGAGATTGGCCGCACCTGTCGCCAACTCAGGAGACAACAGCGAGCTACACTGGCTACGGAAGAGCGCATAGACGGCCACCTGAGTAGCGATTCTGAGGAAGAGTACGGGATGGACGGAGAATACAATCCACACCAGGGGAATCCTCAGCAGGCTCCCCCAGTGAATTAGGTCCTGGGGAACAACCCCATACCCCAGGATCATGGGGTTCATCATCATCCACCGCCGCCGGGTCCCACATTGGAGTACTATTACACTCCACGGATTGCTGACATCCGCCCGGTCATCCTCTACCCGCCTATTCCAGCAAACAACTTCGAGATCAAGCCATGCTGGATTCAGCTCATTACATCCTCTATCCAGTTCCATGGCTTGAAGGATGAGGAGGCCAGGGTACATCTTTCCCATTTTCTGCAGCTGACGAACGGGTTCAAGCTGAATGGTGTCCCTGATGATGCAATCCGCCTTCACCTCTTCCCCCATTCTCTGGCGGGGAATGCTAAGAGGTGGTTGGAGGCCCAGCCCCCATTGTCCATCACCTCTTGGTACGATCTGGCTGACAAATTCGTGCACAGGTACTATCCGGCATCGAAGACTACAGAGATCCAGCGGGAGATCACTCACTTCCGCCAAGAGCCAGATGAGTCACTTCGTGATGCTTGGGAGCGGTACATGGGATATTTCTGGCAGTGTCCCCATCATGGTTTCAGTGATGCATTCACAGTGGGGAACTTCTACAGTGCTCTCTCTCCGGACAGCCAGAGGGTGATTGAGTCTCTATGCCCAGGAGGGGATATTCTTACTAAGACTCCACCCGAGCTGAACCAGATGATCAATACCTTGGCTGCCAGAGATCATTCTTGGGGGCAGAGCAGCAGAGGCAGACATTCCCGGGACCGTGGTGTGCACGCCATGGAGACCAGATCCGGGCTCGAGCAGCAGGTAGCTGAGTTAGTGCAGACATTGAAGCAGCCCAACAGTCTTATTCCGGGCAGAGGTTTGGCTACACCTCCAGTAGCTCAATGTCAGTGGTGTGAGAGCTCAAATCACCTAGTGGAAGACTACCAGGCTATGAGGGAGTCTACTACCCCCCAAGAGCAGTTGGACTTCATCGCCAATGCTCGGCGCCTCGACCCGTACAGCAACACATATAATGAGGGGTGGCGCCAGCATCCCAATTTCGCCTGGAGAAACCACCTGGTTTCCCAGCACCAACCGGTGGATTTCAGCAGAGGCAGCCCTTCCAGGCTCGACAGGGGCCAGCCCCACAGCAGCAGCCATACCAGCCTAGGCAGGGGCAACCATTCCAGCAGCCCCAGCGCCAGTATGCCGAGCCAGCTGCAGCTCTTGCTCCAGATACTCAGATGACAAAGCTGGAAAATATTCTAGCTTCATTCATGACTAGCACTCAGGCAACTATCACGAGGTTGGACCAGAGCGTAGCCTCACTCGAGGCAGGTTAGAGGAACCAAGGTGCCATCTTGCAAGATCTGCAGAACCAGGTGGGTATCTTGGCCCGCCAAAACACTACTAGGGCACCGGGGACTCTGCCTGCCACCATTATTCCGAATCCTCGTGATCCTCACCAGCACCAGCAGCTTGATGCCATCACTACCAGGAGTGGCAAGACCACATCAGCTGCTCCTGCCCAGCCCAGTCGAGATGAACCACTACCTACTTCAACACTTCCAGCTGATACTGCAGAGGTGGGGGAAGACACAGAAACGCCTGCTCCCAAGCCACAGCCAGTGGTTAAGGAGCATGTACCCCAGCTTTCTTTCCCCACTCGCCTACATAAAGACAAGTTGGAGACTGAGTTTGCCAAGTTCATGGCAATGTTGAAGCAGGTCAACATCAGCATGCCATTCGTGGAGGCACTGTCAAAGATGCCCAAGTATGCCAAGTTCATGAAGGACCTCCTCACCAACAAGAAGAAACTTGGGGATCTTTCGACAGTGATGCTGAGCGAGGAGTGTTCTGCTATCCTGCAGAACAAGCTGCCCGAGAAGCGAAAAGACCCAGAGAGTTTCACTATCCCTTTGTTATTGGCAGCATGCATGTAGGAAAGTCCTTGGCGGACCTAGGCGCTAGCATAAATGTCATGCCTTATAAATTGTTTAAGAAGCTAGGCCTAGGTGAACCTAGAACTACTAGGATGAGCATTCAGTTAGCTGATCGTTCTATCGTGCATCCTAGGGGTATCATTGAGGACTTGCTTGTTAATGTGGGTGCATTCACATATCCTGTTGACTTTGATATTTTGGATATAAATGAGGATGTGGATGTA